GTGTCCATTAATATTTCAGTTCCTTTTAAAGGATCTTCCAGAACCAACACCGTTATCTGCAAAAGCCCTTAACTTGTACATTCCTTTTTTAATCATTATTTCTACAATTCTTTCATCTTCTATCTCTATTCAGTATTTCAAGAACCAAAATAAAGAAGAGAGGAGATAATGGGCACCCATGGCTTGTTCTTTTTTGTAACTCACAGGGTTTTGTTAGATTTCCATGACCAATTATTTGTGCTTTCTGTGGAGTGTAAACTGATCTTATCCATTTTATAAACTTCTCATTAAAATTCATATCTCCCAAAACCTTGAAGAAGAAATCCCAGATCAAATTGTCAAAGGCTTTCCCAACATCTAAGAAAATCAATGGAACTTGCTTTTCATTATGTTTCTTCAATTATTCCAAAATGTCCAACACATTTCTAATGTCCTTTAACTCTCTTTTAGGTAAAAAGCGACATTGATACTCATGAATAAATTCTTGCAAAATTATTTTCAGTCTATCAGCTAGAACCATTGTAAACATCTTGTCATTATTAAATAATGATATGGACCCACAGTTTCTTGTTAAAAGTAAAATATTGTTCTTCTTTAGGTATTAATGCTGTATTGGTTGCTTTCCAACTCTCTGGCATCTTTCTTCCCTGTCAGATAGAATTCATTGTGTTTTATAAAGTTGTAAAAGTTAATCCTCAAAACATTTCTAATAATAACCTGATATCCATCTTATCCAGAAACCAAAAGCATAGTCACTTTTAATACAAAATATTCTGTTGTACTGTTGGACTTTATTCTTCACGTTCTCCTATACTAGACAACTTAATATTATTCACAATAGAATGAAAAATATTTCCAATGACAACTACGGCATGTTCACTATTGGTTACCCTGGTTCCACTATAGGTCAATGGTATATTGGGACTTTCCTGACAGTCCATTCGTTCCCTGTAGTGCAGATATGGCATCCATTTCACCTAGCAGTATCAAAAAAAAAAAGAAGAAGACTCTTGGTGGCCCCATCAATATCTGAAAGTATTGAAACAATTTCACACAAATCTCTCCTTTGTAATTTTCAGGAAAAAAAAATTTTTTAGCTCTTTTTCTAGCATGCCACTTTCGGAAACCCAGAAAACAAATACCCTCTCTCATGTAAGAAGATTTCTGGACCTTCCTTCCAGAGCACATAAGAAAAAGATGCCCCTTTAATTGTCCTTTCTCCAGTGTACCATTCTGAGATGGATCATCTCTGTTAAAGGGCACGGGAAAGAGAAGAAAGTTTTTTATGCGTAGTAGCAGCACGTCTCTAAGGATATTTATTTGTAGCTCTCAGAAAATTGGTAAGATTTCTAACTTGTAATCTATTTAATAATTGCAACAAAAAGACAATAAAAAAGGTTAACAGAAAGTATAATGCTTTGGAATTTTGCTGTTGAAGAACATGGTTGAGAATTCATTGAGTGAATGGAACCATACATTATTCAGAGCTTGAGGAGATCAAACCAGGTTGCTCTCTGAAAATAGTAGTAATGAAGCTAAAGCTTAGATGTTTTGGATACCTAGTGTGGAAGCAAGAAATCTTAGAATAATTCAAGGCAATCAGAAAGGATTCAAGGAAATAAAACATCTACTGGTAGTTACAATTATGACTATAAGGTTACAAGAACTCAAGGAGGCACTTCCTAACAAATTCTTTTCTATTGGGCCATGATGAATTAGAAGCAACTGAATGATTGAATAGAAAAGTAAGTAGCATGAGACTATCCTACCACTCCAAATTATGTTGCTGCTTTAGGACCTTATGAAAGTCAGGAACAGATTTATGTGTGTGTGGGATTTCATACTGTTCTGCTTCTCAGAACAACTCCTGCCTTTATGTCTAATTCTGTTTCATCATACTTGTAATTCCTATTTGTTTGTTGTTTTTTAAAGTACATCCTGGAAATCTGAAGCATCTGCTATATGCCAGCACTGCTCTAATCTTTAACATTATGTTTGTAGCTGGAGATTCAGCTCAGTACTTATGAATCACTTGTTCCATGATTAAAATTAGAGAAATAAAATAATCCCTTCACTGTTTTCCTAAAAATCTGATTTTGTGCTTATCTAGTACAAACCTTATATGCCTATAGACATGTATTTATTTATTTGACAAATGTACATAACTGTCCATCTCACAAATGAGACTTTTGGTGGCATACAATAAAACAGTTATTTTTTTTTAACTTTAATATGTAATGATGTATGTACTGAATGGAAGTAATAACCTATATTTGGGGACTATTATATCAAATTCTTTCTGTTATTTTTTGTGTTAGTTGCAGCCTAGTATATTCGTACATTAAAAGATTGCCTTAATCTTAGCCCTATTACAACAATCTAGCATCAATATGTGATCAATCTGACATGAATATTATAGTAGAATCCTATTTCAAATGGGTGACAGATTTCTAATATGGTGTCTGTTCTACAGGCATGCACCTTTGATAAGCATGTATGGAGAGAAAAATAAGTGTTTCAGATTTGGAAACGTTTGGAATAAAGACTTGGTGGAAATGACGGCTTTGTGATTTGATCATTATCTGTTTTCTGCATGTGACCAAGCTACCTTAATGTATTTGTTGCATTCTGTTCATTCACTTTTTATTTTGTCTACATTCATTCAGTGCCCATTCATTCTTGATCTTATCTTTCCTTAAGTGTCCATTCCCAAAGTGAGGCACTTAATGGTCACTCTCATATAATAAAGTGGGTAGAAGCATGCTTTTGCAAGCAGCTGTTTCTCTTCCTTTGACAAATGTTCATTCCTTGCATCAAATGATACACTATCCACTCTCTACCAGCATTGATAAATTTTGATTTTTTTAAATCTAGTTTTCAACATAGATTAAATTCATCTATTTACATTCATTTTACCATTTATGTATAATCTACAGTTCTTCTCAAACATAACTGTCTTGGTCTTCATTATATTTATTTTTAGATCTATATTATTACAACAGTAATTGAAATAATTCAGATAATATAGTTTTGTGTGTATTTTCATATCCACAAACAAAATCCTTCTAACATTTGTCCCTACTGTATTTTTCCATAAATTCATTATATTCCTAATGTGCATCACATATCCTTGTCTTGTTCTCTTTTGCTCAGTACTAAACTGTTGAAAAAAATATTCTATTTTTCTCACCCATGCTTTCCTTCCATCATATAGCACCCCTACCATATTCAGCAAGCAACTGTCAATTCTATTATTTAAAACTTAATAACTTGTATGCTTCTTAAATTCTAATAACTTTTCAATCAGAATTCTACAAATTTATTTCCAGGCACACTTCATTAACTCTGTAGTTTTTGCTGTCATCCCTTTTTTAAAGGAGAACAATAAAATCATTTTCTAATCATCACACACAGATATAGTCTTCACATTCATATTAAGCAAATTGAAGAGCCATTCTGTAAGCAAACCATCCATATTTCATGATTTCTGCAGTTCCATTGTGTACAACTCCTTACACCCCTGGTCAAAAACCAGGCCATTTTGTATCCTGTATTTCAGCCTGTAATTATTTCTCTCATTCCCCCACAGTTGATCATAACTGTCTGATTCTGAGATTCAGTTGATATCTGCTTTGGAATGGGAGGGGATAGAGGGGTTAATGTGATACATTTGTGTTCAAGAATGCCATTGCATAATTTGGAGACTTCAGTTGCCAAAATTCTCATAAATGATCATAGTTGTTGAGAAAGGCATCCAGGTTTGGAAAAGTTCATATAGTCCATAGTTCAGGATATGGTCTGCATATATTCTCCCTCTGCCTCTATCTCTTTCATCAACGCGAACAATGACTTACTTACAGAAAGCCTAACAGCAAATATTTAGTTGAAGTTTACCTATTGTCTAAGGGAAAAAATTAATATTGTATGTTGTAGAAATTCTGGCAGTACCTTTTAAAAAAATTGCAATTATTGAAGAATAAATAAAATACTGTTTATTAAAATACTGTTTATTATTTACTAAAACAATACATTGAGATATACCAGCATTTATATCTATCTTAGATTTCGGAGGAGGGCAGAGAAGAATTTTAAAACAAAGTTCTTGAAACTTAATGTCATTTTATAGTTTATATAGCAATTATGGAAATATACATTGGTTACTTAACTATATATTGTACAGGGACATGAACACAATACAAACCAACTTCTGGGCATTTATTTCTCTTCCATTAGCTTTCTTTGACACAGTATAAGCACAGTCATAGCTAGCTCAAGTTGTCTGCTTTTTGTTATGCACAAAGTCAAAACATTTATTAGCAAAATTTGTATTTTGCTGCTGCTGATAATTTGTGAGTTGTCTTTAGGTTATTTCCTAAGCCCTGATCCATTAACTTAGCAATTTCATCTTAAAAACATGGCTTGTGACTTATTTTAAACCAGAACACAATGGCTTATTTAAAAATTATGATTAAAACATGACTTAATATGATATATAGCCACAGGTGAGGATTTATGCATCATGCTAAGTCATGTATTTATTGAAAACAAAGAATACTATTATGGTTTAATGCATGTCATGATTAAAACATGGCCTGGTATGATATATGAACATAGGTTTTAATCATGTTTAGCTATAGAACACTATTGAATGAAATATGGTTAACAAAATCTTAGCAAGATGTATGAAACCTAGTGGAAAGTGTTATGGTTAAATTCTTTATGACTCAGTTCATAATTTCACATTAAATTGTAGTATGATATGCTTGTTGAATGATGAACCCAATCATGCTTTATTCTTTAGTGTAATGCCAACCAGCCCTTTGCATGTTAGCTTTCTTTTAATTTGGCATTTAATATATGTTCTTCTCATACCAATAGGATACAAGTAAGCTTGTAATAAACATCTAATAGTTTAACTTCACAGCTATTACTGTTTTGAAAAGACAGGCTTTACGCTTATCTACTTGTTCCAATAAGACTCTTATAAATCCTGTTTATAGTTGGAGAATACTGGAGAAGATCTCAAGGATGGGGTGTGCCGCTATGAAGGAGCTGTTGTAATACTTGATGCTGGAGCTCAGTATGGAAAAGTTATAGATCGCCGGGTCAGAGAACTGTTTGTCCAGTCAGAGATTTTTCCTTTGGAAACGCCTGCCTTTGCAATTAAAGAACAAGGATTCCGGTAAGATTGATCCTTATATTAGTTATATGTACGCTTCATTAACAGTTCTGTTTCATTTGTGAGACCAGAAAGTTAGAGTATCCTTCAACTGTAAAAGACCAAACAATCTGAAGAAGACCATGCTTCAGCTTTTAAGTAGCATGCAGGAACCTAAACTCTACCAAAGTGAGTAAGACTAGAAAAGATAAATACTCAGATCCCTATAAAACAGGAAACTATCTAATTGTGGGGTGAGAGATTAATTTTCCCTAAGGGGCCATGAAAAATTGGAACTGTTGTGGAAGGCCGGACCAGTAGACTAAACTTAAATCTGCCACCAGCGCCCACATGTTGAGGGAAGAGGGAACATGGAGCCTCCCCTTGCCTCAGCCCTGCCGTCATTCTTCTGTCACAGTGGCAGAAAGTTCTTTCTCTCACTCGCGGAATAAAGCAGTGCACTCGGCTTCTGCTTCTTCCTCCCAGAGCGCTTATTTACATTTCATTTTATTACTTCCAATTGATCTCATGTGGACAGGACAGGGATAGCCAATTAGCTCTGGTCTAATTCCATTTAAATGAAAAATGTAAATTACATTAATTAGTCCCATACATTTATCTATTTCCTATTGCATCTCACTGAAATTATTGGCAAATTTTAGAAAGGATTTTGGGAGTTCACCAAAGATTTCATGGAATCACATGTTGCTCTATCACTTCAGGAAATGAACTCCTGATTCTCATATTTAAGAAAATATATGTGGTATTTATCCCAAGCTATATGAAACTGTGCTGTCTAGTTCAGCATTCTCTTGTCAAGGGAAGTTGGCAGTGACTTTTGACTAATCTGGATGATTACTTCTTTAAAAATGGGATGAAAAAGAGGACGTTCAAATTCCAGCCTAAAAGAAACAGGATGGTTAATAGTTAACTCCTAAAATGTCATTCCGAAACGAAAAGCCCCACAATTTGCTTACAAGACACTCAGTCCTGTAGGCCTTTAAAAGTTTGATGTACTAGATAGATGGCAAATTCAAGAGGTAATTGGGGGCCAACTAGTAATAGGATTCATGGTTTTTGGTTCTTTTCCATTCCAAGGCTTTGTGTATATTCTATTAAGTAGTATCTGAAAACATTTACACGAGAAGCAGAGATGGTGTGGAGCTGAGAGATCAAGCTGAGTATCATCAACGTGCTAAAATCAGTTGAATTCTATCACATGAAATATTTTATAAAATTTTGTTTAACATTATGAATACATACAAACTTACCCATCTTACCATTCCCTACTGGATAAGCAACATTATGTGGAGTATTGAAAAGGAGTAAGAAATAATAAACCAATGGAACTGAAGTAATAAAAGATGAAAATGAAGAGAGCTAAAATTAAGTTGCACCAATATCTTTCATTATAATTCATATTTTCTACCTTTTTAAACTATCCTTGTTTCCACCATATGGGAAAAGTCAAAAGTTCTTAAGATCTCTTGAGCTCCATCTAAATATAGCTTTCTGAGTCTTTTCTTTTTCCTCTCCCTTGCAACTATGCTTATTCATTCTCTGTATTGCTTCTCAAAATACCTCTTACACCCTGACCATTCACCATTGTGTTAAATCAGCATTCATTGAGCATCTATTCGTTCCTGAATTTCTCAGTTATATAAAAGGGAGCTATAAGGAAGATTTTTTTTCCCATGACTTGAGAAACTAAAAACAGAAATAATAAGTGGCAGCTACTTAGATTTCATTTAAATATAAAGAGAATTTCCTGATGGTAAGATATATGTAGCAATAGATAATCTACTTATGGCGACTGTGAGTTTTTCATCTGTAGAGTTTTTTAGGAAGAGGCTGGATTGCCACCTCTTATGGTTGGTATAATTATCCTGCACAATGCACAGCATTGATCTAGATTAAGCCAGCACAGCTCTTAGATAGGAAAGGACATTTGCTGCATTAAAAATAATTGTGGATCACAAAAGAGTAACTGGTGAGTCAGTCAGCTGCTTGGTGGCTAGAGGCATGGCAGCAGTGATGGCAACAATTTTTGAACCAAGGTATCTCATAATCTCATAAGGCCTGAATGTATCCAAACTCACGGTCCAATGACTCCTGAGGGAATGAAATTTTGGCACGTTGTGGCTGCTGCAGTCTACTATCTCTTGCTACAGTCACATGACCTTCATTTTCAATGATAGTTTCACAGCCAATCTCACAGAAGGGAAGGAAAAGGAAAGGAGAAAAAAGAGGAGAGGAGAGGGAGAAAGGAAGGTAGGTAGGTTGATTGGTTGGTTTCTGGTGTTCCCTGCCAGATTCCCACAAAAATACTCAATAGGGAAGTCTGAAGTCATTCCTACTCCCACTACTTTTTTGCCTACTCTTGGTCATTCTGTTTCTAGGTAAGGAAATGGCCCGATGGGGCACAGATTGTCTACTATAGGATAAAAGCGGGATTTTAAGCCTGTTCATTATCTTGCAGAAAAGAGCTATAAATGAAATAGGAGCAAAATATAACATTTATTTTTTCCTAAGTGCTGTTCGTGGCACCGTCCTCTAATAGTTGGTCTCTGTAGTCAAAGTAAAATTTCTATTGAACAGGAAGACTCTTCCCTTTGAATGGTAAGGCATACATACAGTATTTTGTCCTTCAGTAAAATATAAAATGGTTCATGAAGTTTCCAGTTGGGATGATAGGAACAGTTCTCTGAATGGTTGCTTTGAACATGTAGCATCCTGTAGTCTTAGCAGGAGCAAACATTAGCAAGTAAGTGTTGCTTTAGCATGGCCAGAAATAGGCTTGCCATGACAACATAAGCCTTCAGGGTTACATAAAATGGAACAAATTGCCCACTTTCAAAGAAAACAAGGATCAGTAGGCCAGCCCTGATTTCTTATATCATCCTTCACAGAGACAGACTGACTAGCTATAATGGAGGGCTCTGTCTACAGAGGCTCTCAGGGTAATTGATTTTTGAGGGTCCTCAATTATCTGAAGAGCCCCCAAGGATACAAAAGTTGCTCTAGCCCAGTTTTATTGAATTCAGGGATGTCAATACGAGGAACAATTCTTTCCCTGCCCCCAAATGCAGGTAGTTTGTCTCAATTTTATAAAATATTTGAAGAGGGCTATTGTTATCCCTTCATTGGTTCAAATTTGTTTTTAACTGATAAAGAGTTCAGTGTTGGCAAATATATGTGGGTATATTTTGTTTCTTTGTTTTGGAAGCAGTATTATATAAAAGGAAAATGATACTTTCTGCATAGATGCATGCTTGCTCTCCTAATGGAATATTTATGTTGCCTTTTAGTTCCATTAGTCACTGAGTATAATCATGATTTGTTCATGTTTGATGGAAAAGCAACATTAGTATAATATAGTCCTCGACTTTTGAGTCTAATAGAGCCTGGAATTTCCATCACAAGTCAAGACAGTCTTAAGTCAAGGCACCCACGTGACCAATCTGATTTTATGACTTTTTTTTTGTAGCAATCATAAAGCAAATGCTGTGCTTATAAAGGGAATACTGCAGTCATAAAGCAAATACTGCAATCATAAAGCAAATACTGCAGTCATAAAGCAAATACTGCAGTCATAAAACGAATCAATTCCCATGAGTGGTTTTTGTCTGGAAAATACCAGAAACTAGCAAAAATGTCATAAATTATGATATGCAACCGGCCAAAAAGGTGAGCCAGTTGCCAAGCATCTGAAATGCAATCTTTTGATCACTCTATGTGTGTGTTTGTGTGTGTGGTATGCATGCTGTCATTGGAACTCAGGAACTGGGTTCTAAGTATCTTTGGGGGGGGATCCGTCATCACTTTGAAAAGTCACTAAGCAAAGGACTAGCTGTAATCACTGACTGTAAGTTAAATATAAACTATGGTTAATGACTATATTAACGTATACATCATAATGCAGTGCACTGACCATAGCTATAAAGTCATCCCAATAGTGTCTCTTCTCTAAATAGTGTAGCTTGAAAATAATTCTGCTATTATGTTTAAAGGATCCAAACCTTTCTTATGTGGGTGTGTTGATAGGTTGGAGAACATAATGTGAGGAGTTTTCAGAATCATTGCTGGGTGCTCGCCAATTCATGGAATGCTATCAGCAATGTACAAAGCATAGATTTATAAATAGGGAAAAAGTAAACGCCAACTGAAAGAAATTGAGATTTCTGAAATCATTATTTATTTAACTGTATTGATATTAGTCTATCTATCCTACTAAACTTTACCTGGATCCAAAAGAAAATAATGCCAGGAAATGTTCTTATATCTATTGTTCTACAAGTGAAAATGCCCTACAGAAAATTCATTCACAATTGCAAAATATGTTCCAACACTGAAATATAATATTGGAATTATCTTTCTCCTTGTTTCTGACAGGACATAAAGTCTAAATAGGAATCTCTGGAAGTACTTTAAATTTTAAAAGGTTTATTAGGCTAATGGAAAGTTTTTTATGATTTGGTTTTCACAGTCAAACCTATGATTTCTTTATTTCTTTTTATATTATTGAATTCTTTTTGAAAATCCATTGTATCCTCATTTTGATTTTCAACAGTTGTGAATACAATTTAGAATTGGATTTCAGAAATTACCCAGAAGAGGGTCACTGGTCCCAAGGCAGCCATAGAAAAGGCCTTTGCACAGTTCAAGTGCACTATAATGTACTGTTGATTCTCTCAAATACTTTTTGTTAGCCAATTGTCTTGCAGTGTTTTCTTAGGAGAAGCTGTTGGGAAGTAATGGGCTTTAACAGAACCATAACAATAGAGAAAGGTAATGATATTCAATTATATTTGGTTAATGAAGAAGCTAATGATTTTTATTACAAATATTGTTTGACTTTTGTATTTTCAGGAAAGATGAGATGGTTCATATTATTGACACTGACTTTTATTAGTTCTGCTATGTAGTGTTAATGAGTATTGGTGAGAATGAATTTTTCTTGTATGATTGAAAAAAAACAACTCAGCTCTAGTCACTAAGATTTTGCTGAATGCTGAAACAAGCTTAAAGGAAAAATTTCAGATTTAAATATGAAATAGTTTGCTTTTTTAACATACGTAAGATATCTTATATACATGCAGTATTGCCTTTATTCAAGTTTTGTGCAGATTTAGAATGATATATGTTAAAATATTTAATTTCAACATCTTTGTTTTTATAAATTGTCTCCTTTTACAGAGCCATCATCATCTCTGGAGGACCAAATTCTGTTTATGCAGAAGATGCTCCCTGGTTTGACCCTGCAATTTTTACAATAGGCAAACCAGTCCTTGGAATCTGCTATGGCATGCAGGTGCTACTTAACATTTCTACAAATATTTATGACTGTATGGGGTTTGCTTTTGGTTTTTGTTTGGCTAGTGCCAAATAACTATTCTAATTTGTACTTGTGCAATATATGAGAACCTTATTTAGAAGTAGACTAAAATGAGCTTTTAAAAGAAGAATGTATCTTGTTTCTGCACAGTCCCTATTGCAATCTGTGCATGGAAGTTTTGCAGGCCAATCTGTTGTTCTTCATGTGCAAAAGCCTACTGGGAACTGATTCATGAGCTTTTTGAGGCCATCACTATGGAGAATAATAAAACAGGCATCATTTTTAAAAATGGGATTGCTATGGTTTGGACTTTCTAATAAATGAGTGGTATATCATTGTAGCCTTGATATTATTTGTAGCATTTCAACACATTAATTAGGGATTATGATGGTGGTACAGTTTGCATGTTCTTGCAACTCCCTCCACCACAGAGAGATGTTTTCTCAGAGTAATCCTTCTTCTCTAGTATTATTTATAGAAGAATTTAAAATTGACAAGAACCTGTAAATGAAACAAGTGACCCAATGACATAGGTTCAAAAACGGAGGTGGTCTGGAAAGAAAATTTGTACTAGCTGGGTGGGATCAGTTAAACATTTGAACTAGTTGGGATCACTAGAATAAAAACAAATAAAGGAGATAGTATTGGTTTATGAGAAATTAATCTGCCCACTGTAAGATATTATCAGCCGTGAAATACAAAGGATAAAAGGGTTTTGATAATTAGTTGAACACAAAGTGGTCGTTTGCTAAGAGTTCTGTGTATGGGAAGATGAGTAGAGAAGACGTAGCACAAGGAAACAATGGAAGCTGAATTTTAAAAACACTATTTGATCAGTAGCAAGACAAGAAGAATATGCAGTTAGTCCTTGATGTACTGTCGCTAAGCAATGCAATTGAGTCATGCCCAATTTTATGATAATTTTTGTCATGGTAACTAAACAAATCATGCAGTCATTAAGCAAATCCAGGTCCTCCCCCCATTGACTTTTCTTATCAGTTGTTGGCTGGAAAGGTTGCAAATAACGATCATGTGACCCCAGGATGCTGCAATAGGTATAAATAGATGCTGGTTACCAAGAGCCCAAATGGCAATCAGGTGATCTCAGGGGCCCTGTAATGCTAGTAAGGACACTTTTTTTCAGCACTCTAGTGTAATTTCAAACTTTAAATGAGTGGTTGTAAATAAAGAATTTTCTCTAGAAAGAAAAAAAAATAAAGACACGGATAAAGACTCTAAAACAATGTGCAAATCAGAAGCAGTTAGATTTAATATGAGACAACACAGGAATTGAGCAAAGACAAAAGTAGAAAAGTATATAATCAGAGTCTGTTAAAAAGCACCTTAGAAATTTTGAAAATAGAGATAACGTATAAGTGGAGAGAAGCAAAGTGATAATCAGAAATATTGTAATAAGCATAGAATGAGGAAATGTTGGGAAAAAGCTGATAGAGTCTAAGCAGAACAGTAGGGCTACAACCTATTAAACACTAAGGCAAACTACTGTATTTGTTAAGAAACCTGAAGTTCAATGTTCGTCAATGAAAAGAGAAAAAATAACGTTTGTGTATAAGTTAGAACACATGTTGAACTTAAGGATTGGAACTGGAAATATTTATATGAATGGAACAGAATGCAAGAGTATTGAAATCCATTGTGAGGAATGGATTGTAAAACTGTCAGAATTAATGGAAATGTTAAAACTGACCTATTTGGTTAGAAAGAAAACAACATGCTTTTTTAAAAACTGAAATCCTTTTATGGACTTTTTGCTTAAAGAAGAAAAATAAATAAAATGAATGATATTATGGATTTAATGATTGAAAAAGTTGAGAATTTAATATGGGGTTGAAGGGGTTTCTGGAAAAGATAAGAGGGATGGGAGATGATTTGTTTGTCAACATCTGTTAAAAGGTTAGAAGTCATTTTTCATAACGTTAGCTTTTCTTTTCTTACACCTTTTTTCTTTTTTGATTTGTCTTTTACTTTATGTAAAATTCTCAATAAATATAAACTAAAAAGAAATAATGAACATGTGAAAGTAAATGTTCTGATCTGCAAAGTAGCCAAAGTGAAAACAAGTTAAGTGGAAAAGAAAATCTTGTTTCAGTGAGACCAAAAAGAGAGGCCAAGAGAACCTTACATAGAAACATTAATTTTTGCGTTATTAGCCCTGAACAATCTTGATAGATTTGAGGAAACCAGAAGGTGATTTTCATAAATACCTAAGCAGGTTTGTTCTGGGAAATGAAAAGTATTCTGCAGTGGTGCAAAACTCCCCCAAATCCTATCAACCCCAGAACTGAATCTGAGCAAGCTTCTGGAAGGCTGCCTGCTGATTCTATTCATCTCAGCAAAATGAAATACCTCTGCTTAAAATGTGTTGTAACAATACAGAAACAGTCAAGCGTAATAAATGCCATGTCAAAATAGAACTCCCTCAAATAGCAAGGTTTCATGCAAGATCAAACACAGTGTAGTGCAAAATAATAATAATAAAGCAAGCTTTTAAATTGCTGACTGCCATTGTCATATCGAGATGCGCAAAAAGAAATCTGTTTGCGGAGTCTACAAGCCAAGATAAAAATACTAGCCTATAGGTAGCCCAAGTAGAACAGATAATCTTTGACTATGGACAGAATAATAATAGGTTTTTTTTACATATCTCTAAACACTGTAATAAAAAAAGCAATGGTAATATCTTATATTGCTATTGCTTTATAATAGATATTACTAAAAAGATTGGCTCTTGAAATATGGCATCACAATTCAATGAGCCCAGTGCAGACATCATTTTATTATGGGTTTGAAACCCATTTTTAGTTATATAGATTCATAAGCATTCTTAAAGTCTCACAAAGAAATGAGGAAATAGTAAACCTCAGATGAATTACATGATTGCTATTTCACACAGAAAACATATGCTTTATGTAGGAACTAAATATCAACTGTAACAACTATGTTTTCTATAGGCAAATATTCTTACCGAAGATGAATAATTGTGAATTTCTACCTGCAATTTAAACTGAGTGAGATGTACTATAGTACTTAAGGTTATAAGCTGAAAAATGATTGGATATACTCCTGGTTCTTACAGAATTAGCTAAACTCTGGTGTTTTTAGATATCTTGGGAATGACTAAAGATAACATCAAGATGATTTATGAAGTCAATTCTGGAAGAAGTGGGAGCAAATATTTATTGTTTAAATAGCTCTTGTACTGTTCAGAATTTACTTGCAAGTTATATGTCTGTAGGAAGGTGACAGTAGAGCATAACAATGGTAGATGATCCCTGAGTTGGGTTTTCTTATACCTTTTGTATTCTGCAGCATTTAAAGAATTAGGAATATTTAAGCTTAGAGGAAGATCAAGTAGTTTCTCTATTGCTGTAAAACAAGGATCCCCAACCCCCGGTCTGTGCACCAGTTCCAGTCCATCGTCCGTTAAAAGCTAGTGGAATTACTAAACTCATAGTAATTATTACAGTTATAAATATATAAATTACTTGTACTGATAAGCAATAAGCAGTTCTGATACCCTGAACAATGATTCTTGGTTTTAAAAAAAAAGCTAAGCAAAGGGAAAGGGTAGCCAATAGTAGCTGAAATGTTGTAACTTATTATCAGACTGGTAACTTACTTTTCTGGTTTTGACAGATGATGAATAAGGTATTTGGTGGTACAGTACACAAAAAAGATGTCAGAGAAGATGGTGTCTTCAGCATTACATTAGATAACACTTGTTCATTATTCAGGTATGAAAAACTTTTGGTAATGAATTATGAAATTAAATTGGATATCTTATAAATTACACAGCTGTGTTTAATGGTCAGTTTCAAACCTGGAAAATATTAATGCTGTGGAAAATCTGTTGATGTTTAATGTTTCCTCTTAATTATTTTAAGTTGATGTCTTTTAAAGATATTAGACTTTATTTTGTGATCCTTTTTCACTTTAGGGGACTTCAGAAAGAAGAAGTAGTTCTCCTTACCCATGGAGACAGCGTAGATAAAGTAGCAGATGGATTCAAAGTTGTTGCTCAATCTGGAAATGTTGTAGCAGGTATCATATTTTCCACATTATCAATTTTCAGTGGATTTTGGTTATATTTCAGTGCTGGCATGAATAGGATTTTGGTTTATAAAACATATTTTCAGTGATTTGCATCTAGTGCAAGAAAATTTGATTTTAAAACTTAAACAATCCTAAAGGTATAACTTTAAACTGTAGTGTATATAGATGTAATTTGTAGTTCATTTCCAAGAAAATGGTTCCAAGTCTTGGCAGATAAGATATTAACATTTTTCACAAAAATGTATGTGTGTGGGGGATGTCCTATTACTTGAATAAACATGGCAAAAGCCAAAAGATTTATTTATCCAATTTATACAGTTGCTATCTCAATGAGTGACTCTGGGTAGTAAAAGAATTAAAATAGAATACAAACAAACTTTATAAAAATTGGAACACAAGCAGAAGAGAAACAACCCAGATACTAACACAACCATGGAATGGGTCCCTGCACATACTTGTGACACCAGGCACGGATCCAGATCTTCAGGGCTTATAAAAGGCCATCAGGGTTGGGGCCATCCTAATCTCCAGAGAAAGGATATTCTGTAAGGTAAGCATTACAATAGAAAAGGCACATCTTTCTAGGCATTGTCAACTGGCAGTCCTCGGCTGATGAGACCCAAAGCCCATCCTACTTGACTGGATCAGACAAAGCTATAAACAACTGGAGAAAGATGGTCCCTCAAGTAACCTAGTCCTAAGATAAGAACTTTTAACGATGACAACCAGCACCTTGAATTGCACTGGTAACCAACACAGCTCATGGAGCAGTGGTGTTACATGTGCCAAGTAAACAGTGCCATTTACTACTCAAGCTGCCTCATTCTGCACAGGTAGAGCTTTCAAATGTTATTCATAGGCAGTCCCATATAGAGCGTGTTGCAGTAATCTAGCAATCATGAGGACACAAGTGACAATGAGCAGGACCTCCCATTTCTGGAATGGCACAGCTGGTGCACAATCCAAAGGTGTGCAAAGACCCTCCTAGCCATAGCTTCAGACACTGGGATAGAAAATCCATGGCATCAGTCAGGGTGATACCTTACCTGAACCATTGGGTGACCTCATGCTGTGACCTCCTGTAAATGTAAAACAGGAGGAGAGAAAGGACTAATACTTCTAGCACCTCACAAACTATGTGCTGCAGACTGGATTTCTATGCTCCAACACCAGCTGGAAGAGATTTCTTAGTAACAGTTTTGAACTATGTAAATGGTGGCCTATTTAAATCTTGAATAACCTATCTGCTAAGTATATTAATAAACCATAGTTTGCTCCTAATTAAAAAGTTTTAAACCATATCCTCTGGCATATGGCACTCATGGGAAACACACATATATGGGCTAGCCAGAATCATCAATATAGGGAGCATCTATGTAGATCAGTGGTTCTCAACCTTTTTAATGTCGCGACCCCCAACTGGTCGTAAGTTGAGGACTACTCAACTGGTCGTAAGTCGAGGACTACTCAACTGGTGCAGCACCATTTGCAGAATGGGACTTTTGGCGGGCTCAGCAGGGCAGAGACAGCCTGGACAATTCCTATTGGCTTTTGAAAGCCAATAGAATTAGACTCTATTCAAGAGAGTCTATTCTATTGGCTTTCAAAAGTCAATAGAATAAAAGGGAGTAGCACAGCTAAGGAAAAGGGGAAAAAATGGCGGACTGCGTTGTTTGGCGACCCCCGTGAAATGGTTGTTCGACCCCAAATGGGGTCCCGACCCACAGGTTAAAAACCACTGATGTAGATATTTTAAGAAAATGAACTACATCCAAAAATTTTACTTTACATATGGTAACAATCTTTTATTCTCAGATATTTTCTTAGTGTGAATAATATTATTTAGCATGTTTAAGTTGCTAAGTGATGACTTTTGCTTATTCATCATCTCAGCTGAAATAAATTCAAGCCAACTTCAGCAAAGTTCCTTGTATTGTACCACTAAACCTAAAATGTACAAGTAGTGGCTTGTGACCTGAGAAGTCTTAACATATAAGATATTCAGGAAATAAACTTAATATGAGTGGGTCATTTTTATAGAAAATAATAGATCAGACTGTTTTATTTGACTCATTTGTTGCCTTATAAACTGTGTCTTGGTACAGTTTTCCTAAAACTGAAAACCCAGCTGGGAATTCTGGAAATTGAAGTCTCACTATGTCAGGAGGGTATCAGGTTGGGAAAAGGAGATGTAGTAGATTGTTACTTTAATAATATTTTGACATCTTTCTCATGTAAGACCTGTTTTTATCTTACTAAGTTTTTTAAAAAAATATATGCTTTCTTAGAGCTAAAACTGTTACATTTTTTTGTTTTTAATAACACCCAAGCTATAGCAAATGAATCAAAAAAACTGTATGGAGCGCAATTCCATCCTGAAGTTAGTCTTACAGTGAATGGAAAACTGATGCTGAAAAACTTCCTTTTTGACATTGCTGGATGCAGTGGTACCTTCACAGTTCAGAACAGAGAAATGGAATGCATTCGAGAAATTAAGGAGAAAGTAGGATCATCAAAAGTTCTGGTAAGGTTTGAAATTTAATCCATAGTCATTCCTGTTATGAATAGTATCTGATTATGATTTATTTCATTGGTTTCAGTTTTCATATTTTTGTATTTTTTTAAAAAAGGCTTTTTTGTTTGTTGAACAATGACTTCATTGTACGGAATGAAATGGGAAAGAGCAATTTTTTCAGCTACAACCCAGGGTTAAATTACAGAAATGAAGCTAGATGCTACAAATGTCCAATCCTGTAATAGAAACAGTGAAAACTAAAAAAGCAAATAGAATGCTATTCTTGATCATACTGTTCTGTCCATTAAATGTATTTATTGCAGCCTTTTCACTTTGTGTTTCCTTATATATGTTAGACTACAGCTTGCATAGACTGGTTGGGAATTCTGGGACCTGTACTTTAATGCTTCTAAAAGTTACTAGATGGGAAAGCGGATTTAATTATTTTGGTTTCCATTGAACCCATTCAGGTTTTACTCAGTGGAGGCGTAGATTCTACAGTGTGCACAGCTTTACTGAACCGTGCTTTGAATCAAGACCAGGTGATAGCAGTGCACATAGATAATGGATTCATGCGCAAGAGAGAAAGTCAATCAGTGGAGGAGGCACTAAAAAAATTGGGAATTCAAGTCAAAGGTATTCCTCTTGTACTAAGTTTTTTTTTTAAAAAAAAAATCTTTCCATTATTATTATTGAATTTTAGACTATTTAGCTTCTACCTTTTAAAAATTTAAGTGATGGATAGATTACCTCATTTTATTTTTTGGGTTTTGAAAAATAGGAATCCTTCAGAATTTAAGACTTCTTGGAAAATATATTTGCAAATATTTTATATATTGGGTAGATAATATCATCATGCAAGTTATCATGGGATCTTTTGGTAGATATCTCAGCAATTTTTTATTGTCTTTATTACAGTATATTCATAAGAATGTTGCCTTCTATCCAGTCAGCATTCAAGGCAGCCAGTAATAAAGAATAAAACACAAACTTTATTAAATTTCAGTGGTTAAAATCACACCCAATAATTGAAGGTTAACAACACCTGGCTAAAGAGGAAGATCTTTACTGCCTTTCTAAAAGCAGAAAACATTGTGCCTACCTGTTTGAGGGAACCTATGTTATACCTTGGAAACTATATGGAGAAACTACATTCTATAGCTTATTTTTCCTTTCTACGACGCTTTTTGAATACTCCAAAACTTCGATAGCTCCAATTTTTTAATCTCTCCCTGTTCTCATCACTCACCTGCCAGATTTTTCTATGGAGTCATGATTTAATAACTTTCTTCAGGGGTTCCAGAGTAGGATCTCTTGAGTGACAGGGAAAGGCCTCCAGCAAAAATTGTACCAGCTGAGTAGGGAGAACCTCTCAGCTGCCAACTCTTGATATCCTTGCTTGTCTCTCTGCCTTTTAATTTAGTAAAAATCTGCTGTTGCCTTTGTTCTTTTGCACAACACATAATGAAACTTTGGAATTCACTACCATAAGATGTGGTGCAAGCTTGGCTGGGTTCAAAAAAGGATTGGGCTAATTCATGGAGCTTATGGGGATAAGTGCCTATTAGCCTTGGTGGCAGAGAGACTTCCTTTGAAGGCTTTCTCTTGGGAGGGTAATAGGCTCCCTTGTGCAATTGGTTGGCCACTGTGAGAACAGACGCTAGTGTAGATGGGCCACAGATTCAAACAAGAAGGATACTGCTTATATTCCCATGTTATGCATTAGGAAATTGAAATCTCTTGGTGCTGTCTAAGGAAATTAGGTGATTTATTACATTGCAGTGGAAGAAAGGGTTTCCTTAGTTTTCTGTTACATTAGGTGAAATATCTGGCTGGGTAAATAAAAAAGGCTTTATCCTGGCAACAAAGTTGTAATTTAATACAGCGTGTGTGTGTGTGTGTGTGTGTGTGTGTGTGTGTGTGTGTGAGAAAGAGAGAGAGAGAGACCTTGAATTAATTTTCCAGCGCTGAATCCTTGAAATGGGAAAAATGTTAGAATATTAGTTTTCAAAATATTTTAGCAATGTTACTAACAACAACATCCTGTATATTATATAGTGGTAAATGCAGCTCATTGGTTCTACAATGGTACAACAACTTTACCCATCTCTGAAGAAGACAGAACTCCTCGAAAAAGGATCAGTAAAACACTGAATATGACTACAAGTCCTGAGGAAAAACGCAAGATTATTGGTGACACTTTTGTGAAGGTACTTAGTTTATATACCCATTGGTATTGTCTGTCTCTGGTTTTCAGAAATCTCAGGCAAATCATTTCTTCATTTTTTATGACAACTGTGTAATGGTTTATACGAATTTGCTCTTAGGAATGTATAGAGTACTTGCATCAGCTAGCATATTTCTTCACAAATATTTTTGAAAACTGACCCAAACTGACTAAATATCCCTGCTGTGGTGGAATACTATTACTAATTCATAATACCTCATTTACATTCCCTATTTGTTTATAGATCATAAATCATACGGTAAAGCAAATACTCACAGATAACATGGTAAAAACCATGCTATAGTTTATCTGGCCTTTTCCACTATTTTGGTGATTATTGTCTATTCTAACAGTAGTAGGACTTACCCTGCCATAATTCAGGCATATTCAGATAATCCACATCCCTTTTTTCCCTGCAGGCTTTGGCATTCTTTTAGCCATAAGCTTTTAATAATAGCGAAACAAAACTGTCTTTTAAGGAAACCTATAGTTTGTCCAGTAGGGGTCACCTATCATTCATTTTATTTCATGTACACTGAAAATAATCATATTACGATTCAGTTGTGTCACGCTAATAATTTTTGCTTTGGGCTTCTTTGAAATTGTCTACAACTTGTGTTTCATAACTTGCTGTGAAAGTATTAAGGTTTCTCTTGCAGCCAGAACAAATTGTTATGATGCAGCTATTTCCAGCCAGCTTAAAATATTAAACAGTTTTCTATAATAAAAATGTGATAAAAGTGTAATAGGAGCATAATGAACAAAGTACTAAGCAAAAGCCTATTATATGCAAGTATACAAAAGAGTATTCACAAAGAAATGATGTAATAAAACATTATGAATAAATAAAATGAACATAACTATATTCCCAGTGAGTTGGATTGTTTTCTCCCAATGCTGTGGAGTTTCTAACTTTGGTAAAATTTCTTATGTAGACCAAAAGAGCAAAATGATGTAATTTGGTTTCCTGATAAGTGTGACTGAATGTCAGTTTGAGCAGAGAAGGGAATGGGAAATGCCACACCACTAGATAGAAAAAGCATTTGAGTCCTAGGCAAGTGGAAAATGTGGGAAAGAAACTCAAAAAAACTCCACCTTGATTGTGTTAGATATAAATTTAAGTAGAAAGGGGCTTTGTGAAACTTTAAAGATTCTGTTGCATTACATTAACTGTGTTAAAGAACTTTCCCAAATCCCTATTGGCTCCTGTTTCCTGACCTTGCTCACAACAAAGGACTGACACTATGTGAATTAAACTATGCAGTGCTTTAGAGTAGACTTCAGATTATGTGAGTTGTTCACATAGCTCCAGGCATCAACTTACTAGGCTGGAAAAGGCATATTTCATGTTAGGAGTTGCTGACAGGTCCTATATGTGTACCCTCAAGATTTCCAACACCATTTTTTGCCTATGTATCCAATATGCCTATGTATATTATACCTAATATAATTATCACTTACTATACAGATAGTCTTCCCTTAACATCCACTTGTTCAGCAACTGCTTAAATTTACAACATTGCTGAACAAGGAGTACCGTATATGCCGGCGTTTAAGACGACCCGGCGTATAAGACGACCCCCATCTTTGGCGCGAGTCGCATGCCTAGAACGTTGTCTTATAAGCCGGACACTACCAGTATTTCCGGCATATAAGACGACTCGGCGTATAAGACGACCCCCGACTTCAGCGCCAATTTTAATGCTTGCGGAAGTCGCCTTATATGCCGGCATATACGATATATATGATGGGTCCTCATAATTGTGGCCGTTGTAGCATCCCTACAGCCCCATGATTATGATTATAATACCAGCTTGCAATCACAATGTTGCAGTCAAATGATCATCATTTGTAACCTTCACAACAGGCTCCCATCAGGCAAAATCAATGGGGAAGCTGGCAGAAGGTTGCAATCATGTGATTCTGGACATGGGATTTGCTTAATGATAGCAGTTGGGACAGGACTGTTCTAAGTTAGTGTGGTCATGTGATGTCACACCTTATGACTGCGTTGTTTAGTAGTGGAACGCCTGATTTCAATTACCTTCAATAAGAGAAGACTATCCATTGGCATAGTTGCCATTCTTGAGACCTTGCAGTTTATAACTTACTTGTAGAATATCATCTAAAGTCTTTCTCTGTCTCAACCCCATGTGTAGATTGCTAATGAAGTTATTGGAGAACTGAATCTGAAACCAGAAGAAGTCTTCCTCGCCCAAGGAACATTGAGGCCTGATCTAATTGAAAGTGCTTCAGTTATTGCTAGTGGCAAAGCAGAAGTCATCAAGACCCACCACAATGACACAGAACTCATCAGAAAGTTACGGGAAGAGGTAAATAGAACACCACATCTGAGGTTTCACTTTTTAAGAGAAATAATTTAGCACTGGTAAACTCTGGTCAATTTTTTTTCCTAATTGTTCATCTAGCATTATAAAGTTTTGCTAGTTAAATAATTATTTTTGACATTTAATAGTACTTTCACATAAGAACTAAACTGCAGTTCAAAATGTTTGTATACTATATAGCCTGCAGAAAATGAGATGTCTTTCTGTTCTCCTAAACACACAAGCAATTTTAGATTCAATCTTACAAATAGATCAAAATTTATTTTCTGCTTAACAACAAGAGATTAAAATAAATAGATTGTGCTAATTCTATGGAGTGTGACTGTAAATATATTAAATGCATATAGGTATATGTATATTGGTGTTACAAATAGAGCTCTTTGAATCACTTCCCTATTATTTTTGCTTTTGCCGATATTTTATTGGGATTGTAAATGCAAGATTGAAATGATAGTCTTAATATTAACAAGCCGAAGGGATGTCCATTGTCACCATTGCTGTTTGTTTTAACTTTGGAAATATTGCTGATTAAAATTTGAGAATCACAGGAAATAAAAGGAATAGAAGTTAATAAAAAAGAATATAAATTAAGAGCTTTCGCAGATGACTTGGTAGTTACCCTGTCCCAACCTACTTATTCTGTAGTAGAGTTATTACAATTGATATACCATTATGGACGGGTTTCGGGTTTTAAAATTAATAACAACAAGACTAAAATATTACCCAAAAATATGACCAATTTGGATAAGCAGACTTTGGTTAAGTTGACAGATTTTGAGGTTGTTGATAAGGTAAAATATTTGGGGGTTACTTTATCTGTTTATAACGTAAAATTGTATAAAAATAATTATGAAAGGTTGTGGGTCAGGATACAAAGAGACTTGAAAAATTGGGAGAAATTGCAATTATCTCTTTTGGGAAGAATTGCAGTGATCAAAATGAATGTTCTGCCAAAGTTCCTTTTTTTATTTCAAATGATACCTATCTTAAAGAATGAGATTAATTTAAATGAATGGCAGAAAGGTATCAATACATTTATTTGGGCGGGGAAAAAACCAAGAGTAAAGCTTAAAATAATACAAGATATTCGTGAGAGAGGCGGACTCAAGGTACCGAGTGGTGGTCCTAACATTAATTAGTGATTGGGTTAATTTAACAAATGTAGAAATACTCCTCTTGGAGGGTTGGGATTTACTTTTTGGATGGCATGCCTATTTAATTTTTAATAAAAAAGTAGATAGGGTTTTTAAATCTCATATTATAAGGATTTCTTTATTTCGGGTTTGGAGGAAATATTATAGAAGTGATTTTAAAATCCCATTATGGGCTATACCTTGGCATGCGATAGAGGGGATAAGGAGAGGAGTCAAGATGGATGGTGTTTCTTACGCACAATTACTTAGATGGGATGGTAAAAATTGGCAGTTAAAATCTTTGGAAGATCTAGCACAAGAAAATATTATATACTCATGGTTTCAGTATAGACAAATAGTGGATAGATGGAAGTTAGATCGTAATATGGGTTTACTTAGAGAAGATGAAATTTTTTTTAAACAAGTAAAAGATCAAAGACGAACTCATATTAAGAGAATTTATGGGGTGCTAGTAGAATTGGACTCAGAGGCAGAATTAATTAAAGAATGCATGATTAAATGGGCACAAAATTTTGGTGAACCAGTTCTACTAGATACCTGGGAAATTATTTGGGTGAGGAATGTCAAATTTACACAAGCCCAGAACTTAAGGGAGAATTTTTATAAAATGTTTTACAGATGGCACCTTGATCCACAAAAAATGTCTCGTATGTATCCTGACTTACAGCCCAAATGTTGGAGATGTGGTTGTTTGGATGCTACTTACTATCATATTTAGTGGTCGTGTAAAAATATAAAAGCCTTTTGGATTAAGATATGGTGGAATATTCAAAGAATTTTTAGAAGGAGGGTAAAATTTACCCCACAATTGTTTTTGTTAGGTATTGTTACTGATTGTGATATTAAAGAGACTACATTGATGTTAAATTTAATTACACCCGCAAGGTTGTTAGTAGGGCAGTGTTGGAAGAAGGAATCTTTGCCTACTTTGCAAGACTGGTTTTTTAAAGTTTCTTATTTGGCGGAAATGGCAAAGATTTCGGCTTTCTTGAAGGATCAATCGCAAGAGAAGTATTTTGCGGTATAGAAAAAATGGATAGATTTTATACAATGTAAGTTGGATATTAAAAAATATTATTTAGTTTTTCAATAACTTATATTTAAAATTTAAAACATCTCATAGATTTTACTCCTTTTTTATTTTTATTTTTTATTTTTATTATACTTTCTTTTATCTTTTTCTTTTTTCCTTTTTTTATTCTTTTTCCTCTCAAGTATTATTCTTTTGGTATTTATGTTTTTATATATATATATCATTGTTAATTATCTTATAATTTGTTTAATTAATGTATTTAATATTTAGATTTATTCATGGTTTATATCTTTCTTTAAGACTTTTTGAGAAATTTCAATTAAGCCTATGTTCAGCTCTGGGAAGGTTGGGGAGGTTTGGGAATGGGTTGTTTTGTTTTTGTAAAATTTTAAAAATTCAATAAAAAAAAATATTAACGAGCCGAGGTCGCGCAGCAGTTAGAGTGCAGTACTGCAGGCCACTTTAGCTGACTGTGTTCAGCAGGTCAGCGGTTCAAATCTCACCGGCTCAAGGTTGACTCAGCCTTCCATCCTTCCGAGATAGGTAAAATGAGGACCCAGATTGTTGGGGGCAATGTAAAATATATATATACATTGCTTACTGGTGTACACCGCTTAGAGAGTGCTTGCACTTAAAGTGGTATATAAGTCTAAATAAATAAATAAATAAATAAATAAATAGCAGTAATACATTAGAATTTTGTTATTAAGTACATGCTATTTAAAAATGGGTTCCCTAATGTAAATCATACTGTTTTCCTTTACAGGGAAAAGTAATAGAACCACTGAAAGATTTCCATAAGGATGAAGTAAGAGTGCTTGGGAGAGAGCTTGGTTTGCCTGAAGAACTAGTTTCAAGACATCCATTCCCAGGTATAAAATTAATTAAATTTATAAACACTTAGAAGAATAATAGAACCTCTGATTCTAAGGAGTTCCAAAGGGCCATGTAAGGTAAAGTGGGAATTGAAACCCATCTATAAAAAAAATCTATTTTTCCCCAAGCATCCACTGAAAAAACCACATTTTACAATTTATTTGTTTTTTTATAGGTATCCATTTCTCTTTCCCTCCCCTAATTCTAGAGTTAACTTATAAGTGTAGAAAGAGAATAAGCAGAATGACATGGAGAAAAAAAAGAGGGGGGGGGAATAGATCAACAGGGTCAGAATACAGCTAGATAGGAGAGTAAGGGAGAAGTAGTATTTGAAATAAGAAAGAAAGCTGGGTACACAGCCCACCTCCTGTCTCATTTTAGTGGACGTTCTTAGTATTTCTGATGCATTTCAGACATGATAGCCATGTTTTATATATTTGCAAACCCTTTGCTGAATTGCTTTCTGAGAACGATGGTTACCGTACACTTAGTTGCTGTCATATTTCTGAAAAATCTTCATATTGGTACAGATGATGTTACGAGTATGCCATTTTTGCCTTTTAGGTCCTGGCCTTGCCATTAGAGTAATCTGTGCTGAAGAACCATATGTTTGCAAAGACTTCCCTGAAACTAATAATATTTTGAAAATCATAGCAGACTTTTCTGCAAGTGTTAAAAAGGTAATATTAGTTACTAATACAAAATAGAACTAGATATAAATTCTTTTCTTTCTCTTTATTTTTTTCATTTTGCTTATGTTAGCAACATTTGAAATAATTTAAGGCCTGATTGAAATATTTTCAGGCCACTTTCTTATATCCTATCTGATATTTCCTCACTTTTTGCCCCATGTTTTTATTTTTTTTTTCTTACAGTTTTTGATGTAGTTGTGTTATATTGGCTATCACTTTCTCTATTTAGTCATCATTACTTGAGTGAAAAAATACACAAAAAGAAGACCCATCTGCATATGATTCCTAGAATCCATAAATATACTGTCACATTTTTCTAAATATTGATGTTGAATTACATTTTTAATGTGTCTATATAAATGATTTGCTAAACTATCTTGGCAATCTGAATTTCAACTTTCCCCAATTGGCAGAAAGGCATACTGCTATAATTATATATTTATCAAATTTATTTGGTGCCCATTTTGTAATGAAATGACTCTGGGTGACTTACAATGCATGTACCAGGGTCCAGAGAACCAATTAGAAATCAATTACTTGACATATATATATATATATATATATAGGAACTCATGGTAACTATATCTAATTGTTTCAAATTAAACCATAGCTATTTGTATGCACATCAAAGATCCGAAGCAGGTTTTACCTGTACTGCTAAACTTTTTTCCTATTTCCAAAATAGCTCCTAGAGTGATTATTTATTAAAGAATACTAAAATCCATCCCTTCATCCTCCTTTATATTATGATCCTTTGTAACTTTTAAGTTCAACTGCTGTGTTTGCTAGGGATGCATAGCCAACTAACCTTTTATAATAATTAGAATTAATTGCTTTGTTGTCTAGCCTCACACTCTGCTACAGAGGGTCAAAGCATGTACACCTGAAGAAGACCAGGATAAATTGATGGAGATCACAAGTCTGCATTCATTAAATGCCTTTTTGCTGCCAATCAAAACAGTGGGAGTCCAGGTTGGTGAAGCTGGGTCTGTGACAAAAATATATAAAAATAGGGAAAACAATAGATGTTGCAAAGGGTTTTTTAAAACTGAATTCTAAATCAAATCTCCTTAGGAAGGAGACAAAAGTTGAAGAGTAACCATAAAATGAAAGCGAAGCCATTAAGCATAGTCAAGAAAAAAAGAGTAGAAAATATTTAACAGGTTACTTCGCAAAGTCTGGGAGTAGTAGATTTATGACATACAGTGGGATTATCAAGCTGTTATGAACGTTATTTGCCAGCCAGCCACTCATACCAGGCATTGGTAGAAGAGATAGCTGTCCTGAGTCATGTGCACAGTCACATAGATCAGTACTTCTCTGCTGCAGATAGAAACATTTTCTGTTTTGAGACTGAGATACAGAACTTGGCAGAATTCCTCCAAGTTCTGTATCTGTGACCAAGGCTGGAAAAGGCATGGGAATACCATTGATCTCCATAGCCTCTGATTGAAAAGAAAGATGAAATAATTGCAACCCTATGAAACTCCCCTTCCTGAAAATCTGGATAGCTTCAATCCTATTGGTCTTTTGCAAGGTTCTGAACAACTGGCTCTTTCTCCAGAAGTTCAGATCAGGAGGTTAGGTGAGGTCTGCTCTTGTTGATATGTGGGTGTGGTGTGTGGTGTGGTGTGTGATTGGGGCTTACTATTTTAACCTTGGGCATCATGGGTTTCCCATTGTGATTTTTGTTTAATTTTTCAGAGTCACTTTTCTGAGATAAGCACCATTCATTTCATTAAATATATAAAGAGGAACTTTTGCTTCATAATTTGCTTTGTAGATATAAATTAAATATCTAGCCTTTTTTATTTTTTTATTTCTATGTTATGCTAAAGTCTTATTTTTTTAAGTTAAAGCATTCTTTTAAACTTTAATTCTCATCAATCCTCCAGGTTATGTTCATGAAGTTACATTTTTGTAGAATCTTGTCATTTATAATATTAATTTTGAAATATATCATTTATCTTCCTTGAGATTATGGAAGAAAATGATCACCACTGTAATCTTATGATCTATTTAGAGCATTCTATTTTATTTTGAATTTTCTTTTTCTTTGTAAGATGTGGATTATGATCTGGGCATCTCTGTAAGTTATATCCTTCAGTACTGAATATTTCAATTTGATGTCAGGGAGGGCTTCTGGGACAGAATAATAGAAAATTCTAGCTTTCCATCCTATCAGTGCCCATTGTCCAATACACAGACCTTCTTAAGAATTGTCCTCCATTAAGACTTGAGGAGCCCAGACTTTTCCAGCCTACTGCTTTCCATATGTGTGAGAATGTCTAATTTCAGACTTTCTTGCCAACATGACTGAATTGCAGAAATTCTCCCATCTGTAATACATTGCTTTTCTTACTGCAGCTGAAAGTAATGCCTTTGTCTGTGCAAGCAAGGAATATTTTTGTAGCTTAGGACAACATCTTACAGTTATTACTTTAATTGTCAAGAACCACGCCCAATAGGGCTGTGGCACTAAGATGTTGCCTAAGAAGGTGTAATTAGAATTTTTGACTTGCTTTTTCCTCTTTTTTCCAGGTTTGAGGGCTTTTAAAATGTGTTTTGTAGGTGCATTAATTCTATTAGAGGCTTCACACTTGAAATCAATTAAATAATTTTCTACTGAAAGTCAAGAAAAGATGTACCATTGTTCAAGTGTTTGCCTTCAGATTTCAAGAGTATGAACTTGGCTGTAAAAAGTGGCTGAGCTGCATATCCAACAGGTAACTACCATATCTACTCGCAGATAAGCTGAGATTTTAAGTACCAAAATACTCCCCCAAAATAGGGCTTATCTGGGGATGGGCTTATCCACGAGTATATAAGGTAATACTTATTTAAAGGGCCTGTGTATCCTATATATAGTCATGTATAGACCCATCTCCAGATAAGCCGACTCTTGAAGTTTTAATCAAATTACTATAAGAAATGCGCACAACCCATGGATGTTAATTGTGAACATTAAAAAAATGTGAAGATTTTAAGGGCTGACTTGATTGTGGGTGGTGCATTTTTCATGGTATTTTGGTTAAAAATTCAAGAGTCAGCTTATCTGGGGATAGGCTTATGTGAGAGTATCTACAGCATTGTCCAAGCACTTCTTTGGCTTGAGTTATTGATTCCAGTACATATTGTTTTAAATGTTTAAACATTGTGTTCTTGTGTTGCTATTTCATAGGGTGATGGTCGTTCTTATAGCTATGTATGTGGAATCTCCAGTAAAGGTGCTTCGCCTTGGGAGTCCCTTATGTTCCTAGCCAGACTCATACCACGAATGTGTCACAACATAAATCGGTAATATGTCCATCATTACATAGATCATTAATACTTTGTTATCTAGGATTCGTTGTGGGTCACTGGGGGAAAATTTATGTGTAAGAAGCAGATAAAAATCTTCTCCTATATGCCTTTTAAAATTCTGATAACAAGAAGAGTCGAAACCCTAGCTCCTGATTTATAACATAATTCCATGACTCAATCCACATACTGTTTTATCTTTTTTTTTTTTTGCTAATTTGACAAGGGAGCTATCCAGTCTTGTTGATACTATATTGCATTATTGTAATTTTATGTTTTATATGTATTGGTCATGTAATTGTTAGTGGTGGAGGGGTGTTATTTTTATATTTTACAATATAAATGCATCATTTCTAGTATGCAAAAAGTTAAGGAACACTACTCCTGTGAATTGGACGCATGACTGTTTTTTTTAGCAAAAGCTTTAAAGTGAAACAGGAAGCATGAATTACTTGCTTTCTGAAAGCAAGTTGTATTTTCAGAATGAGATACAAAAATACATGGGATTTTATTGAAAATATCTCTCTTTGATTTACTGGAGCTGCAGACAAGCTTTGCATGATTAAAGGTTTGGAACTACATGTACTCTTAAAGATACTGTAACTTTTAAATGCATTGTTTGAACAAAGATATATTTAGCCAATTCTGTGCATTATTGATTAATACAGGGATAGGCAACATAATGTCATCAGGTATCACCATTTCCCTAGAAACTTCATTTAGCATGTTATGCTCAGCAGGTCCCTGTTCCCTGTGACTTTTAAAAAGTATTTTAATTTAAAATGTGTTCAAGCGCCCACAGGCTGTCTATCTGTCTATCAATCTGGCATGCTTTAAAGAAAATCACCAACTTCTGGCCATCAGATTTATTTGCAGGTGTCTTTGGCCCAGAAGGCACAATGGCCTAGCAGTTAAGAAGCTAGGCTTACTGACCGGAAGGTGGGCAGTTTGAGACTCATGCATCACCCATGACTGGGTGAACTTCTGTTTTTGCCCCAGCTCCTTCCCACCTAGCAGTTCCAAAACATGCAAATGCAAGTAGATAAATAGGTACCATTTTGGTGGGAAGGTAACAGCATTCTGTGTGCCTTGGCGTATAGTCATACCAGCCACATGACCACAGAAGCATCTTCGGACAACATTGGCTCCCTTGGCTAGGAAATGAAGATGAGCACCGTCCCCTAGACTTTGGCACACAAAGATTCACAAATCTGTCAACAGACAGATTTTCCAGAGCATTTTGAGATTATATCCTACATATACTGAGGAAAATCCAAAGGTACCTCCCACCCCAAAAGGCTGCCTTCCAGCAAACTCAGAGAGCACTTCGTCTCATAGGTTTTCTCTCCCTCCTCTTAGGGTTGTCTATGTGTTTGGGCCACCAGTCAAAGAACCTCCCACCGATGTTACTCCCACTTTCTTGACGACGGGCGTTCTTAGCACATTGCGGCAGGCTGATTTCGAGGCTCATAATATTCTCAGGGAATCCGGTTAGTGTGATAGCTTTCTTTTGTGTGGTGCTTTGCATTTGCAACATCTGTCCCAGCAAATATTTTACGAAAGCTTAGTGGAATAAAGAGTCTAACTCCTTCTTTATTGTTATAAAGTGCCGTAAGTATTGAAGCAGATGATAATAAAGAAGTTGGAATTTGTTTTGCAGGATCTCTGTGCAAAAAAAAAAAAAAGGTATTCCATTAGTCCTCCCTTAAGTTTGCTTTCTATGTTGACCCCATTATCTCCACCTATAGTATGTTTTTTCTATAAGCCAGTATAAATAAAATACCTGTTGAATCAAACCCAACTCTTGGCGACAGAGCAATGTAGTGTTCTCAGCAAGAGTTTTTGCCATTATCTTCTAGGCATTTTATTTCATATCATTTCCCAATTCTAGCCTACAAAGCTGGGATTTTCTGGTGGATTCATGTCCAAATATCAATTAATTCCAGATCAGGCCAAATCGGCTAAATGCTGCCTTCTAGCCAATACATACTTTTTTGATTTTTGTTCCTTTATTCAAGGTTATTCTGGAAAAATCAGCCAGATGCCAATCATCTTAACACCATTACATTTTGACCGAGATCCCCTGCAGAAACAGCCATCCTGTCAAAGATCCGTGGTTATTCGAACTTTCATTACAAGTGATTTCATGACTGGCATTGCAGCTACTCCTGGCAATGAGATACCAGAAGAGGTAAATGGCATTTAGAAAATTAAACTTGCCTTTGATTTCTCTGTTAGAATAGAAAGTATCTTATTTTTTTTGTTTTAAACATATACTAATGCTTATTTATTTATTTATTCATTCATTCAATTTATTTAGTCATATTTCAAATTATTGGCTCTGGGCAACGAACAATCAATCATAAAACAAATAAATGAAAACACAATACAAAAAGAAATTAAATACAAATAGCAGCCAAGATTTATTATAATCTATCAGTATCAACATAACCAGAAAATGGAACCCTTCACATATTAGGGTCCCCAGCCCTGGGAACACAGCCAGGTCTTCAAGGCCTACCAAAAGACCATCAGAATCTGGGCCATCCTAATCTCTGGAGAGTGAATGTTCCAGAGGTCAGTTTTCTACGGCAGAGGAGGCATGTCTCCTAGTCTTCTCTAGCTGACATTCCTTGGTTGATGGGACCCAGAGCATGCCCATCCTGCTGGGCCAAATTGAATGGGTAGAAACAAGTGATAGAAGACTGTCCTTCAGGTAGCCTGGTCCCAAGCCGTGAAAGGCCTTAAAGGTGTCAACCAGCACCTTGAATTGCTGCTAGAAAAACATTGGTAACCAGTGCAGCCCTGCAGCACTGTTGTTATCTGTGCTAAGTAGCTGACACCTTTTACAACCTATGCAACTAGCATTCTATACCAGCTGAAACTTCCAAATGCTCTTCAAAGGCAGCCTCATGGAAGGTTATGAGAGCATGAATTGCAGTCAACAGAGCGTCCTAGTCTTGGAATGGGTGCAGTTGATGTAGAACTTGAAAGTGCACAAGGGCTCTTTTAGCCACAGCTACCATTTGATGTTCCAGTAGGAGCCACAAATACAAGAGAACCTCAGATTGCACACTAGATGTGTCTGAGGCACTTCCATCCCATCCCTTCCAGGGCCAGAAGTAGAAAAACCCTTAGTACCAGAAAGCCAAATACCCAAAGCCACTTAGTCTTCCTTAGGTTGAGCCAAAGCCCATTGCACTCCATCCTGGTCCATATAGCCTCCAGGCACATCCGTGACATAACTCAGGCAGCCTGGAATGGAGATGGAAAGCTGGGTATCATCATAATATTGATGATATCTCACCCAAACTCACCTTACCCAACAGCCTCATGTAGATGTTAAATAAGAGAGGAGAGAGGTCTGGACTCTGCAACACCTCATAAAGTAGGGGTGGTGGGTTGGATCTCTTCCTACCCATATCAACTGGAACTGACCCTGGAAGAATGTTAGCTCTTTTAAATAAGGCAATCCACATATGGAAACACATTGCTCTAAGCAGATGTGGTCTAAAGGCTATGAGTTCTTTGGCTTTTTAAGATTTCCAGTCCTAGAATACCTAGCAAGGGTAGCAATGCTTGATTTCACCAAGGATTATGGAAATTAATGATAGATAGATAGATAGATAGATAGATAGATAGATAGATAGATAGATAGATAGATAGATAGATAGATGGATGGATGGATGGGAGATGACATCATATTGAGGAAAAAATATCTTACTATATTTATTGTTACTAATCTTTATCTGTGCCTAACTCCATCAAAGATGATTGTTTGCAGCAGCAAACATGAAGCTACAATTAATTTAAAGGGTTAAGATTTCTTTGAGTCAAATTCAACTCCTGTTGATTAAGTGAACAAGTATACACAATTTTCTTAGCAACAGAATTGAAATGATATTTCATTGCATTATGATGGTCTTCATTGGAGATACTAATGAAGTCTGACCCTGTTTATCATTTTTTTCACAATCAACCAGGATCAGTTGTTGCTAGGAATAAATAGCATGTAGCAGTTACTGAAAGTTATACGGAGGTGTGTGGTCTGTGGCAGCAGTTCTTTTACATTAGAGCTTAATGATAATTCTGTGTGCCATTTTCAAAGCCATTAAAGACACACACACACACACACACCTATATGTTTGGGCTATAAAACAAATAAAGGGAGTTATACTCTTATAATTGGAGCTTAGAATGTGGAGAAATGAATAGCTTGCATTAGCAAAAAATGAAACACAAATCTCACAGGAAGGTAAGACCAAAGTTAGATGTCTGTTTTTCCTCTGCAAGCCATTTGCCTTTTTGCAGATTAATACATTAAAAAGGGAAACACTTGGACATTTTGGCTCCTTCCATTCTGTTCTGGAAGATGAGGCAGAACATTTGAATTAATTGATTTCATACTAATCTGCCATCCTATTTTGTCTCCCTCTTCTTTCTCATGTCCCTTCCGACGGGACACTGTCATTTATGTCCTTTGATGTCTCTTTCTTGCTGGCTGTTTAAACATAGGTTGTGTTGAAGATGGTGACAGAGATTAAGAAGATTCCTGGCATCTCCCGGGTGATGTATGACTTGACTTCGAAACCCCCAGGAACGACTGAATGGGAGTAATTATTTTCCTCCCCTTTGAAAGTACTGTATGCAGTTTTAAATTATATCAGAAACCATTCCCCGTGTTGACATGCAGTACTGTGAAAAGAGTGACTGGAGCGGCTGCTACATCTTATGTGATTACTATTTTCTCTCCTGGAACATAATCTGCAAATTAAGAGTGCTGATGAGGGTGGGGGAAGTCAGCTAAATGGGGCTGAGGACTTGTACGGGTAAATAATTTACGGCAGCATTGCCTATGTGCAAACAAAATCATATTGCTTTGCCTTTTTTGTCTTACAGCCTCTTCCTGTTTTTTGTGTGTTTACTGTTAAATGTCATTTCAATGTCTCTTTTTTTTGTATACTGTGTAAAAAGAGACGATTTATTTACATTCACCGACCCCATTGTTAGAGCTATTAATAATGTAAAATGAAAAAAGTGACCAACTGCTTTTGAAACAGATTTATTATAAATAAATATTTTGCCAAATGGAGTAGTGAGTATTGTTGAATTGTAGATTATTGTATATTTATTTTCTGTATATTGTAGTACCTGTTCCATATCATTTGGCATTTTAAGCTCATGGCAATAAGTGTTGATGTATTCAAGAAATATATCCAAATAAGAATTATATTCTACCCCATCCCATCACCCCCATTCCCCACTTTTTAATATTTTCAAAACAAATAGCTTTTAAAGGATGTTAAATCATATGTCTTCCCACATTATGTAGTTATTATCTATATTTAATACACATTTAATCAGCTACAAGAGAAACAAACATGAATGATCTATAAAAGTTTCAAACTCACCGCTTGGGGAAAAACACAGCGACAATTATCACAGCAGCCATCAAAATTGCTGGGTTATATACACTTATTTTCTTTTTATATTTTTATTTTAGTCAAATCTTTTGGCTTTCTGTTTATGTGAGACTTTCTCATAAAAGCAAGGAAATGCTGCATTTCAAAAACTTTTACTAAGCTGTGTTTAAATACTAGCTTGATTTCTAGTTCTTCTACGTGTGCCATAGCTTTTGTGACTCATTCTGGATACTTCCCAGTGCATTGCAAATTAATGCAAACTATGAGATTTTGCCTAAAACAATGCAAAAGAAACTAATACTGAAAGAATGATGCTGGCCACACATTATTGATTTATTCCATTGGATTAGAGGACCTGGATAAATAGCAGGCTTCTCTTGCTCTACCACCTCGTTTGCTGTGCCACATACTTATTTGCAATTTCTTCAATGTTCTCAAGGAGATCTTGCAGTGACAGTACAAAGGGTAGGAGTAGTGTTCATGATGTCCAATCTACCTACAATCCACAATCTGTATCCAAATTATTCTCTAGGAAAAGTTCTGAGTAAATGTTATATCTATAGCAACTTTTGAGTAGTAATAACTTCACTCCCTATCTTGGGTGGGGAATAGAAATTCAGAAATGATTGAGGGAATGCTTCCTAGTCTTTCAAGTTCAAGGGATGTTTCCAGTTCTATTCATGTGTCTTTATATTTGGGGCTTGGACAGCAAAATTTTGGCTGTTATCAATGTTTTAAGCTAGTTTAAAATTCAGACTTACCATAATTAAGGTATAGTCTGGGAAAAAGAAGCTTAGTTACAGTCAGAAGAGTCAGAGTTTTAACTTAAATAATGAAGTTTGCAGTTGGAGTTAAAATGTTATTGTTTTCATGTTCATTTACTATAGATATGAACATATTGTCAAGTTCTATGGGTTTTAGATTAGTAAATTTATTAAGTTTTGTTTTCTTAAGATTAATGTACTTGTTTTTAAGTTGGATACATGAATAAAATGGAGTTTGGAAACCTTTACAAGAAATATTATACTAGAGACAAAAATAAACACATATAAAGGACATAGGTAAATTGTTTAAATGAAGAGATCAGAAAAGGGACTCTTTGTGTATGACTAGTATAATACAGAAAAGGATTTCTTTCTCTTAAACCCATACTGGGATTCAGTTTATGCAGGCAATGGAATGTGGAGTACACTTAAATGGACAGGCTTCCAATTCTTGAATGTATTTCATAGTATTGATTCCTGTAATCAAAACCAGCTGGATAAAACAGGCTTGTTGTGGTCCAGGAGGGAATGTATAACTGTAGCTTATGAATGCAGATACCCTTGCTAGATTTGTTTGCCCTCTGGTCTTCAGTAAGACATGTCAACTGTTTTCAAAGACAATTGTATAGGGAATTATTCCTAAAACTCTCAGTTAAAAAAAAAATCTGTAAATGATAAAAAGTACTGTCAGCCTTAATTTTTATCCTCAAATAAAAGTGAACCCATTTGGATACTTCTGTGATTTATTTCCTTTCATCATTCTTTCTGATGCATTCTTTTTTCCTTGTGTTCTTTCATTCTAAGTCAGATTTTAGACACAGTGGTAGAGGTTTTGAAAGTTGTGATTTCAACCTAGTTGAAAATGGGCTCTTCTGAATAAGGTACTAATGGGTGGAAACATTAGTCTAGCTTGCAAGGCTCTCCTGTTCAATCTGTGTTGAATGGGTGGTTTGAAAGGGTGCCATCTTCTCAAAAATATCTGTTTCTTTTATACCTCATTCTCATTTAAGAAGGTGAGGCAAGATGTGGAGATGTTGATTCTGCCGGTAAGATCAGTATGGTCAAAGGTGATGAAGAGGAAAGTTTTTGAATATTGAAATGCTGGATTATCTTAAGCCAGACACATAATGTCGCGTGATGTATTGGAACTTTTTTCCCATTTCCGGCAATGGGGTGGGCATGGTTTCCTCGTGACACGTCCTGCCCATGGGCTGGCAGTTTGACACCCCTGTCTTAAGCAAAGCCTAAATATGTCTAGGCGTGATGTGATTTAGTAAACACTGGTCCACTGTTATAGTTGGGCTGGAAAACCATCCATATTGCTTGAACAGATTTGCCATGGAATTACTATGAGGGAGTAGTTTAATTTATCTCATTTATTGAATCTATCCAAAACAAAACCCACCACATGGATATAATGAAAAAGCTAACTGAGCAAATTACAAATATATTGGGAAATAATTGTGTTTCTAGGCGTAATGGGCCGTGGAAATAACTGAGGGACAGGAAGAAGAGTTGTAATCTACACAACAGTCTGATTTGAAAAATCTGAGTCCAAACGAGGGATAGGGATGGAGAAAGCTCTCAGAAGGGACCTCCATAATTCTCTGTAAAGTAAAGGCACGGCATAAGAAAAGTACCTTTTGAGGTACTCCAAACCATGAAACCGAAATCATAAATACTAGTACCATTTTTATTACAAGATTACAGCAACAAAATCTAGCATTGGGTTTATTCAAAAACCACTGTTAAATAAATGCAGCATGAACTCAGTAAGCTTTGCAAGTACAAACTTCCAGTATAGGTAGTCCTCAACTTATAACCGAACTTGAGCCCAAAATTTCTGTTGCTAAGTGAATTTTGCCCCATTTTATGACCTATCTTGCCACAGTTGTTAGGTGAATCACTGCAATTGTTAAATTAGTAACACGGTTGTTAAGTACTATAAATCTGATTTCCCCATTGACTTTGTCAGAAGGTTACAAAAGGTGATCACATGACCCCAGAACAGCCCTCATAACAACCAGTTGCCAAGCATCTGAATTTTGATCATATGACCATGAGGATGCTGCAATTGTTGTAAGTGTGAAAAATGGTCATATGTCACTTTTTTTAAAGCTCTTGTAATTTTGAATAGCACTAAATGAACTGTTATAAATCAAGGACTAGCTGTACAGCCAGTTTAGTGGTTAAGGCACCAGGCTAGAAACAGGACTTGTGAGTCTAGTCTTACCTTAGGCATGAAAGCCGGCTATGTGACCTTAAGCCATTCTCTCAGTCCAACTCATCTTGGGGTTGTTATGAGGGAAATGGAAGAAGAAAGGAGTATTAGATATGTTTATCACCTTGAATTATTTATAAAACTAAGACAAGATAAATAAATTGCTTGAGTATGTCACATATATTATCCAATAATGCCAAAGAATTTAATGACCACTACATCAGTTCTGGATGGTATATTGTAATTGATCCTCAACTGAAAAATACTATTAAAAACATAAGCTTGCACATAAAGTCCCTGAGGTTAATGTCTGGCAAGATAGTCCTGTTGTCATGAGGGGAAGCCTGTCATAAATTGCATAATACTTTAATTAAATGTATGCCATGAAGAAACAGGGTTAGCCTTTCTTCTGGTTTATTATTTCAAAAAATAAACCGGAACGTTGAATTGAGGTGTCAACTGAATTGCTGATCTGGAGTATTAAATATTTTAGAGTAGTCACATACATTCTTTTGGTGTTTGGTTTGGTTAATGAACCTCATCTTTGAAACAGTCACTCTTCAGCTCTTAATCACTTCCAAATTCATTCTATATAACTTTTTATAGATTGGCTTCATTCTGTCAGTCAACAGTGGGGTGAAGCATCCAAATAGATTAATGCAGATAAAAGGCTGCATTTTTGTGTCTCTTTTTGGATGCTATTATCTCTCCTTGAAGCAAACGTAGGAAATAAAAGTTTCTTAAACTATACTGTTTCTTTTTGTTTGTTTTTCTGCATAACTTTAATCTGCTATTTGGGACCAGCTACTGGAGGAAGAAACTATGTGGCTGAATTTAAAGTCTTAAGACCCTGATTCTAGTTCTGACAATGCTTTATAAGAACTCAGAATCAGCAACATCCTCTTTTATAGAAATGGGACAATAAAATTAATAATGGCATTTTGCAGAATTAAAGCTAACTAGCATGCATGATTCTTTCCCACAAACATTGTCATGTTGAATAAAGAACTGCTCAGGTTCTTCCTCAAAAGATTACAAACTTTAAAAACAACTACAATTGTTTAGATATTGGAGAGAATAATTCCTTCCTTCACCAGCTGCTGCCTCGGCAAATTCCCAAAGTACACTAGATTAGTTATTGAGTAACTTCAGTCTTACAAAGCCATAAGTGAGTTAACTTGTGCTTAGTCATTTCTTGTTTCTGGTTAGAGATAAATTGGGATAACTGGTTAAAATAGCCCAGCGGATGGAGAGAGCGCTAAATTACTCAGATATAATACTCATCTGTTTCTCCTCACACGTAGAGCTTATATATTGTCAAAAGAACTAAAGATAGGATTATAGTTAGCTCTGAAGGACACTAAGTCTGATCACATATTATATAAAGCCATGGATTGTTTAATTATGTCTAATTGGATAAACCTGGATTCATGCAATGTGCTAAGTTAAAATCAACCGTATTATGACTTAGTATTTTGGATCACCATGTTCCCAAACTAGAATCACATAACTTGTGCTTTCATATTTAGCTTAACTAAAAGCTTGTTAAACAGGTCAAGATTAACTGAATTCACATGTTATGACAAATGCAGCCACATTATTTTTACCACAATGGACTGAAGCTTTGAAAAATGAAATCGGATCAGCTGGGCAGGTGATCAGTCACACTCACCCAAAGGTTTAATTCTGAATCCTTACTGAAGCAAATCTCACTAACTGATATTTATTTAGAAGTTGTGTCCAGGAATATTCTATCAAAGCTCAGATTTTAAAAAATGAGAAGCAAGGAAGTAAGATATAGTTTCATAATCTATAAAAGTCCAGTATTGATTCTTTAAAGATATATAGGGCTCTCCTGAGTAATTTGTCTTTCCTGCAGCTTTAGATGCTTTACTAAATAATCTACTATTCCCCTTGGTTGAAGTCAATAATTATGTTACTGGCAGATTAAAGCTGTTCAGTGATGAAGGTTTCTAATGAAACTAAAGCATGCTGTAGTCTTTAATAAATCCTTATTAAATAATCTCCTAGTCACAGGAAACATCATAAAATGCTACATAATATCGCTAAGTTCTTTGGTGGAAAAAGAAATTAATTATGGTCATTAATTATATAGTGAACAATAGCAACCACAAATTGTATAGATATCTCTTTCCTCTTTGGAAATGGGTAAGTAGTTGATAAATTAGATATCACTTCATTATTCATCCCACTTTTAAAACACTTCTGAGTAAATTATTTTTGAGGGTAAATCTTTGTTCTCTGACACTCTGCCATTATGAAAATTCATTCTTCATTCCTAAGCTAATTTGTAATCTCTTATGAATTCACAAGAGGATCTATTCATTTAGCTCTATAGACAAAGAAATATCTGCAGGCAGAAAGACATTTTATCATATAGCTGGATGTGACCGTTGGTGCCACTGTCATGAAGTGAGACTGTGGAAAAGGCACTCCTTGAAAATAAGACCTGGTGCCTCTTTTGGAGGCCCCCCCCAAAAACAGGTCTTATTTTTGGGGAAACACGGTAGTTTGCGGCAACCACAGCTATTTGAATTATAAATGCAAAGAGAAATGCTGATATTTTTTTCTCAGAAAGCCCCATTTTGTGCAACTCACATACAATATAGGCATACCAAATCAGTGATCTGTTTTGCAAACCATACTTAATTATGGCTTCTTTTAGCCATAGTTTATTGAGCAAATTACAATTGGTATCATAGAAAACACAAACCTTGTTTATAGTTATGGTAGTAAAATATATTAAAACCAGTAAGCCACAATATGAATAAATATAGTTTTGTGAATCAGGTAAGTGATAAATGTTCAAGGCAGAGTTTCAACAAACGCTGCAGTAGACTTTCACTGCTTAGGAAGAAATAATAATAATAGTAATAAATAAAAATAAAAATAATAAAGTTGGAAGGGACATTGGAGGTCATCTAGTCCAACCCCCTGCTCAGGCAGGAAACCCTATACCATTTCAGACAAATGGCTGTCCAGTTTCTCCTTAAAAACTTCCAGTGTTGGAGTATTCACCGCTTCTGTAGGCAGGTTGTTCCACTGGTTAATTGTTCTAACTGTCAGGAAGTTTCTCCTTAGTTCTAGGTTGCTTCTCTCTTTGATTAGTTTCCATCCATTGCTTCTTGTCCTGCCTTCAGGAGCTTTAAAAAATAGTTTGACTCCCTCTTCTTTGTGGCAGCCCCTAAGATATTGGAACACTGCTATCATGTCCCCTCTCATCCTTCTCTTCATTAAACTAGACATACCCAATTCCAGCAGCCGTTCCTTATATGCTTTAGCCTCCAGTCCCCTAATCCTCTTCGTTGCTCTTTTCTGTACTCTTTCTAGAGTCTCAACATCTTTTTTACATCGTGGTGACCAAAACTGGATGCAGTATTCCAAGTGTGGCCTTAACAAGACATTGTATTAATACTTCACGTGATCTTGATTCTATCCCTCTGTTAATGCATCTTAGCACTGTGTTGGCCTTTTTGGCAGCTTCAGCAC